AAGGATCTGTTTTGTCTTTTAATAAAGAAGGGGCTCCTTGGTTTTCTCCACAGAATGAATTTGTTCTTACAAAAATAGTTTGGGACACATACATGCCTACTTTGGAAAAGCATTTGTCCTTGATGGCTTTTAAAACCCAATCTGGGGCAGTGGCCACTCAGCACATTTTACAGGCCAGCTGAGTTCCCGACGCTTTCTGCCAGATGGCCTCTCTTCTTCTCAGTTCCATTCCACAAGGCACCTGGCAGCAGCCCCACGGGCTCAGAGAAAAGTCAGAGCCCAAGGGACAGGAAGCGCCTGGTGATCCTTTATTTCCCCTTGAAAAATACACATACCAGCAGTAAAGAAACAAAAGAAGGCAGAGCCACTTTCTCTTGTATTGTGGAGATTTCCCCCTTCACAGCAGCATTTAAGAAACAAGAATTAGGTCTGCACATTTACCTAGAAAGTACCCCCAAACAAGAGCTCCAAGCCACTCAGGCAGCCTCCCACGTGCCGTGGAAAGAGATCTTTGCACAGTGGTAAATGTGGCCAGGCCTTGGGGACAACAGACCTATGAAGTCTGAGTTAGCTCCCCGCTCCCAACAACTTCTGTAGACCAAAAATACCTCTATTCTCAATTCTATAAAGCTTGTGAGTAGCAAAACTTGTAAAAAAATGAAGAGTTACAAAAAGAAACATCCATATAATACAGTTGCACCCTGTATACACCGTATCCCTTTCAATCTGACCCACACCGTCAGATACGGCAATTTTTCAGCAACAGAAAAAAAACCACAAATGCCTGCCGGGTGGTTTCCAGACTGAGGGACATTCCCATACAGTTACAGATCCTATGGCCATCTGTATGATTAAGAAGCCAAGTGAGGTTCTTAGCCTGCAGCCAAGTAACATTTGATTGTCACAATGTAGCATTCTGAGTCAATAAATACAAATAGAGCAGATGCGTTTCTTCACTGTATCAAGTAACTCCAGTTTAATTTAATACAATTTAGTGCATTTCAGTATTTCATTCACAGTTCCACTCCTGTCCAAACAGTTTTGCAGCAAAAGTTCAGAAACTAAAAAATTTAGGGAAATAAGAAAACTCCTGGTGACCTTGTCAGTACAAAGCTTACAATTTTGCAACAATTCAGTCCTCAGTGAAGAGGACTGCTGTTGCCTGCTGACTCACGTCAACTTCTCCAGTGACTTCCTGAGCTCCTCACAGGGCTGTCAGTGTACTTCCCGAGCTGCTTACGAGAATGCTACCACTTTCCCTGAACTAACAAGTTGCAAATGCTTACTTTACTTAAAGTAAAGCATTTGCAGCTTTACATGTGTCCACTGGCTCAAGCAGATCACAGTGTGACATTTTACCCAAAAGCTGACCCTGTGTTTTTGTATCCTGGCCCCTATATGTAAGAATGTGGAGCTTGGGTGTCAGCACCCACCCTGACAGCCCTATGGCAGGGCTCTGGGACAAAGCCTGCACCCAGGTTAGAGATGCCCCCTGCTCAGGCCCAGGTGCTCTGGGACGCTTGCCTTTTGGTTTGGGAGCTAGCCCACAGGCCAGGGACGTGCTGTTTCCAGAAAGAAGGTAGACAGGCATTTCAGGCTCCCCATGTTAACCCTGAGCCCAATTATACTGCAGAAGGGTTAGAAGCCATGTCACACTGCCAAGCACGAAGTGTTGCATGCCAGGACTCCGTGCAGCTAGCTGGTGGCAGAAAAATTGCAGCATGAGTTGATGCATGGGGACGAACAATTCAGATGAAAGTCAGAAAGGCTGAAAGGATCATATTTGGCTTGTTCTATAAGTGTCTCAGGCAGAGATAAAGCAACATGCAGAAAGAGCCACTTATTCTTCACCCCTGATCTGACAAATTGATAGTCATAACTGGGCATTGACAGCCTTGTGACAGCTCTTGAACTGTAAGAGTGACTGCTTTTGCCTCACATCAATTGCTCAGTAACACCTTGACTAGATTAGTGTAAGGAAAGTTCTCAGGCCACGGTGCACAAAAGGGGAGGAACGGGATAGTCAAGGTGGAGGTTTGAAATCCATCAGTGATAAGTAAACCTGTGTTATGTGTTCAGAGAAAGTGCTGCCTACGTGGCTGTTTTATGTTACTTAGTGTTTACACATTCAGAGCTCATCTCCTCAATCAAACTCTCTGCTTCTTGGGGACAGGGCTTTAAACATCTCAGGGCTGTGCATTTGGTTGCCGTCACCTGACAACCACTGAGGGGCTTCTTTCTCTGGGTTAAAGGTCCTATCAATAACATGTCAGACCTCTGTCAAGTCCTTGGCTTGGAGAAAAAGCCTGTGAGGTGTCCTCCTGTCTGACCACCCATCCTTCCCTGGCATCTCCCTCCTGCCTCCTGCGTGACTCTGGCAGCTCACAGCACTAATGGAAAGCCTGGGAGAGAGGAGCAGATGGCTCCCAAATGCTGGTGGCTCCACACAGGCACCTGAAATGCCACAGACATAGAAGCCTCTTGAATTCCCAGAGGGACCAAAAGAATGGTAACCCCTCTCCAGCTCAGTGCAGTATCAGAGATCTGTGAGAGCTGGCTGTCGGGGCTGGACACAACCCAAACTCTGCTCACTGGGCATGTGGAAGACAATGCAGACAGTGGACAGAGCCCTCAGGGACATGGCAGAAGGCCCCATGCACTTGGTTCTTGGGCCCAAGTGGTCCCAGAAGACCATGTCCCAGGCTGAGCTGGACCTGCTGGGTGGGACCTGGGCACTGTGTGCTGGGAGCCTCATGTGGGGCCAGGTTCTGGAGGGGTGTGGGAGCCAGAGGGCCAGCTCAGCAGCCCAGCCCTGTTCCCAGCCTCAGAGGGCGCCAGCCACTCGAGGCCTAGACTACCTCCCACCTGACCACAGCCAGCATTGACTGTCTGGCCAGCAAACTTCAGCGCAGACACCCAGCCTGAACCTGGATGTAACACAGGCAATGGATGTAGCTCAGAAGTAGGGGGCAAAGGAAGAAAAGTACTGTGCTGAGATTTATTAATTTAATTTTTAAAAATCAAAGGGGCTCTCCTCCCCCTTTCCTTCTGAAGCAGACGAAAAGCAAATCCACCCCCTCAAAAAAAACCCCAAACATTCATGGTATAGTTTTTATTGCTCTCAGAAGGCTGGGTGTTCAGATGCGTGTGCTAAGCTACGAAGGGAACCCCTGCAGGGGAAGCCTGCGCTCTGGTTCTTCACAGTTCATTCACGGGCTCAGTGCACAATTGACACATTATATATTAATTTTACAGAGGGAACTTTTCTGGGAAACCAGAGCTATTAATAAAATTGCAAAGGATCTAAGCTTGCATTTCCCGGGTTACGTGCGCACGTAGTGCCCTTCCACTTTAAGACTGGCTAGGTGTTCGTGACTTGGGGAGTGACACAGATCTAAAGCACACAGAGACAGCTGAGCAGCGGACTCTGGAAGAGAGACAAACCCGAGTCAGTGGCTCACCGAGGAGGCGCCAGGACCTGAGTTGGCTGAGGCCAGGAGAGAGAAGAGCTTTCAGACCCAGGGAAAAGATCTAAAGTGGATTGCACTTTGTTCTGCCTGGAATAGCCCCAACCCTCGCCAAGACTATGTGTGTTCACTCTGCCTCTGGTGAGCAAGCACAAGATGGCAGGGGCCTTTCTGCGTCCGCTGCCCTTCCACAGGGGCCGCAGAATTAGGACAGTCCCCTCAGAGAATAATCCTCCCTGCCTCGCCGAGTCTGCAGACCTGGGGGGGGGGCAGAACCCTTCCCTCAGCTTAGTCTGCAATCTTCTCCAGGCCTCCTTCCTCAGTCCTTCCTAGAAAACCACCTGCCTGTATTCAGAATGCTGGTTACAATGTATCAGACAACACCCGTTTCATCCTTTTGCTAAAAAGATGAAGGGAGTGTGACTTTGAAAGAGCCAGTTGAAAGTTTAAGACAAGAGCCAAAAGAAGGTGGGTGGGTTGACAGTGCAGTGGCCAGCTGGCTGGGGAACCTCCAGCCACTCCAGTCGGCCAGGTAGCTTCCCTCCTGCTAGCCACAATGAGCTGAGAGTGCAGAAGGAAGATGCACCCCTGGTGGGCCAATGGATCTGGGCAGGGACACCAAGTGCAGGCAGAGGGACACTCAGGATGTCACCAAGGCAGGAGCGGGTACTGGTGGGCCGGACAGCAATGACACCTGCCTGGACAGAGGTAGGCCCTTGCCAAGGCCACAGCGCATGCCAGTGGAGGCGCGCACCTCCCTTCCATCAGAAAGCTGTAACCCATGAGCGCACCCACTGGAAAAAAATGCTCTCTGAAGCATTAACAGTCTCACGGGGGCTCGATGGTGACATGCCTCTTAAAAAGCATCCTACAGGGTCTCAAGAGTTGCAGGCCCCCTCTGGCACAGCATCCTGGGCTCGATATGTCTGGTCCAGAGTGGTCACCCCATTCCAGCCTTCCTGCATGGGGACTGCAGACTGCTGGCCACAAAGAGAGAGGGTAGACGTGTTTGAGGAGCAGGAAGAACTCCACATTTGGGCCAAGCTCATGGGCCACTCACTTTAAAAAGTGATTAAAGGTATTTCCACACAGGTTAAAGGGGAGTAGGGCTTTCAGCCAGCCTGGGGCAAGGGAGTAGGAGTTACATTCAGAATGTGCTTATCACTAAGAGAACTTTCTCCCTGCCCCTCCCTCCACCCCTAGGCTGGAAGCGAAGGTGCCAAGCAGGGCAGGACAAGCAAGCTCTTGGGGACCCAAGATCAACCACTCCCAGGAGGACAGCAGGAATTCCTTAAGAGCCAATGCTGGGGGGCACAGGGCAAAAGGTAGAGGGCCAGGTTAAGTTCCCCAAATAACTAGTTAAAACAAAATCCTTAATCTAAGTTGAAAAACAGAAAGTGCCCACAACTCCTTCTTGGAAGTGGCTGTAGAGATGGTGTCACGCCTGGATGCCTCCCCACGGAGCCTGCTTGCATCTCGGCGGAAGGGCAGAGGGGACCCTGCATGGTGCGAGCTGACCGTCTTCACCTGGCAGGCCTTCTGAGTTCTTTGCTCTTGGCTCAAGTTTTATTTGTTAATATTAGTCACCAGTTAATAAGAAAAATAGTTTCTAAGTGTCTCTTTCCCCTCACTCTGTGTGTGTTCTGTTTTTAATTGAGTTTAATCAGATACCACGTCAGGTTATGTGTGTTCAATCACAGCCATTAATTATTCCTTTTTCTTAAATTCTTGGTTTCCATAGCTGGAGCCTTTTTCTATTTCGGTTACTCCTATCAGTCTTCGGACTCCAAAGGAAGCTTTAAAGACAGGAGAGAGAGAAGTTAGAGGATGACTTTGCCGGAGAGCTGTTAAAAAGGGAGGGCTCCCATCCTCTGGCCTTGGCCCTCCCCATGTCCCTTCCTCGTCCTGCAGCCTCTAGTGAGTGAGCCTGGATTCTGGGTGCCTATGGGGTGGGTGTGACCCTCAGGGCAAGGCGAGCTAAGGCAGGTGAGGGACTACAGTGCCTGGACGGTTCTGAGCACCAAGGCATCAGAGAACAGGAACAGACTGGCCTCGCGAAATCCTGACAGGTGACTGGTAACTGGCCATGTTCTGTCCTTCGTGCGTGGTTCCAGTGTTGCCCAATGGCAGAGGCTGAGGGTACTCATGGAACTTGGGAGGGCAAGCCTCAGGGCAGTGGGCCTGGGAATCAGCTGGGGGCAACGTATGTGGATGGTCTGTCCATCCACAGAAGTGCCATCAACGTGCAGGGAACATCCACTGTGGCATGGGCACAAATGCGCTCCATTCGTTCAGCCTGTGCTGAGTCCTAGCAGGTGCCAGGCACACAGGGAGGGAGTCACTGAGGGTCAACAGGTGGCTCATTATGAAAATCTCCTGGTTAAGCTTTCAGAGCTGCCATCCTAGCCCAACCCCCAAAGGGCAGAGAGACGCAGTGACTCTCAATAGCGTCCTACCGGCTAGGACACCGCAGAGGTGGGCAGGAGACGTGTCCTGCATCTCCTGACTCTGCACTTAGGGGCAAAAGCCTCCTCCCCTGCCCCAGTCCCCTACTGCCCAGAACTGCCTCACAGGACCGCCATAGTGATTCGTCCAGTTTGAGCACCACGGCAGGCAGTGTGAGCTGTGAACATCTGTGTTCATTACCTGCTCCCACAAACCCCAAGAATGTCAGAATCAGCAGCGGGGATCCACTGGCAAAGACGCCCAGGACGAAGCTGAAGAGGGGAGAAAGGAGGATGGTGGCCCAGCACAGGAAGTTCAGGAGGGTCCATGGCCTGCGGGCAGGTTTGATCTGCTCCCCTGGAAACACGCCCTTCTGCTCGTACATCTCCTGCAACGCATCCTGAAAGTCAAGGGAAAACGGGACGGTGGGTGACTTCATGTGTGATTTGATTTTAGTGCTGGAGAATGTTACAGCAAATGGATTCAAATGTAACTACTTCCTAATAATGAACTTCTGGCTTGTTTCCATTTTTCTGCTAAACAAGACTTATTGTTGGCAAACGTCACTTCATGTGTTTCAAATTTTAAAAATTTGACCCAGATTCAGAGATGGACTTTCTTTGCAACCTAGTACAATCAGAGCCATCTGCCTGTCTAGCTATCTTATGCACACACGCAGCTTCTATCTTGCTTAGGGTTTCTTCTTTTTCTTGAGAGTTACGCTGTTCTAGGTATATATGTCTATGTACTTACTTATAAATAAAAATTTAACTTTGTAACCTATATAATAGCTGTGCATATTTACAGGGTACAGTGTGACATGTCTACAATGCGTTGTGATCAGATCAAGATAACTGGCATATCCATCATCTCAAACACTTACAATTTTACTTTTTTTTGGTGGTAGTGGGGTTTGAACTCAGGGCCTCATTCTTGTTACTTAGGCACTCCACCAGCCCTGTTTGATGTTGCGTATTTATGTGATAGAGTCTCACAAACTATTTGCCCTGGGTTGGCTTCTAACTGTGATCCTCCTGATTTCCGTGCTTCCTGAGAAACTAGAACTACAGGCGTGAGGCTGCTCCTACCATTTCTTTGTGTTGGGAACATTCAGACTCTTCTCCACTAGGTATTTTGGGACATATAATTAAGTGTTGTCAGCCCTAGTCACGAACCCTAACTCTGCTCTGTTGCAGAACATGACAAGAGTGTGCTTACTTGCCACCATCCTCCATCCCCTCCATCCCCTGCGCTCCCAGGCTCTGCCACCCCTATGCTACTCTCTGCCTCTATGACACTGACCTTTAGCTCTCACTTATCAGGGAGAACATGTGGCACTTGTTTTCCTTTGCCTGACTCACCTCACTCAACATAATGCCCTCCAGTTCCATCCACGTTGTCCCAAATGACAGGATTCATTCTTCAAGTTGAAGGGTGTCACACTGGGTACGTGTACCACATCTTCTTCATTCACCCATCAATGACACCCAAGGCCACTCCACACCTTGGCCATTGTGAACAGTGCTGTGGTAAGTGGGAGTGCAAATATCTCCTGGACACACTGACCTCATTTCCTTTGGACAAACTCCAAAGAATGGTGCTGCTGGGTCCTAAGGTAGTACAGTTTCTAGGTGGTTTTTGTTTGTTGTTTCTTTTTGGTACTGGGAATTGAACCCAAGGCCTAAAGCCCATGCTGTACCACTGAGCTACAGCCCCAACTCCTTTCTGGTTGTTTGAGGAACCTCCATACTATTTTCCAGAGAGCTGGACTTTTTGGCTTTTTGATAATAGCCATTCTAGCTACAGTGAGATGCTACTGTGGATTTGAATTGACTTGCCCGATGGGAGTTACGTTGAACTTTCTCTGTCCGTGTGTGTGGTGTGTGTGTGTGTGTGTGTGTGTGTGTGTGTGTGTGTGTGTGTGGTGTGTGTGGTGTGTGTGTGTGTGGTGTGTGTGTGTGTGTGGTGGTGTGTGTGTGGTGTGCGTGGTGTGTGTGGTGTGGTGTGTGTGGTGTGTCTTTGTGGTGTGTGTAGGGGGTTGTGTGTGTGGTACGTGTGTCTGTGTGGTACTAGAGCTTGAACTCTACCTCTTTGGTGTTGATTTGTGTGTGTGTGCAATTGCTGTGAGTTTGATTGAAGCACAAATCAAATGGACATGCCAGCGGTCTATTCATCTTTTTGCTGTGCAGCCGGGCATTGGAACTGGTGACTCTGATGGCCAGCTGGGCTTTGCAGTTCTTGGAGGAAACACTGAGTGACCTTGCTGTATGTCAGCAGCACTTCTAGCATCTTGACTCTGTGGACCAGGGACGTCAGAAGCCACTGGGCAGCATGGGCTTTGTTTTCCTGTTGCTCCCATAACTAATGCTGGCACCAACATCTGGCCCTTGAACCCTCTCCACACCCTGTGTCAAGACTGACTGTTCACTGGTTTCACTTAGTTTTGACATATTGGTCTGACTGGTGCTGGACGAACTCCATGGTCCTCTTTCTGACAATCTTGGGCTCCACCAGAGGTCTGAGGGCAGTCATGATGCCAATAAAAGATGACAGCCACTTGTTAGGTAGCACTGAGGAAGGTGTGATGGTCATTTTCAAGATAGGGTCTCACTTTATGCTTGGGCTGGCCTGGACCATGATCCTCTAGATTTGTGCTTCCCTGCATAGCTGGGATGGCAGGCATGTGCCACAGCACTGGCATTGGTTGAGATGGGGTCTAGAGAACTTTCTGTCCAGGCTGGCCTCTCAGCCTCCCAAGTAGTTAGGATTACAGGCCTGAGCCACCGCGCCCTTCTGACGTGCAACACTTCATACAGTTATTGGTCGTTTGCATATCTTTTGATAGATGTCTATTTATATCACTTGCCTGTTTTTTAATTAGATTATCTTTTTCTTATTGAGTTGTTTGGATTCCTTATATATTCTGATGTTAACCCCTTGTCAAATGAACAGTTTGCAAACACTTTTGTTCATTCAGTAGACTGTTTCTTCATTCCATTTACTTTTTCCTTTGCTATGTTGGACTTTTCAAATATAATCTCATTTGCCAATTTCTGCTTTTGTTGCCTGTGTTTTGGGGGTCATATCCAAAGAAATATCTTTGCCTACGTCTTTAAAGTATTTCCCCTGTTTTCTTCTAGTAGTTTCAAATTTGCTGGTTTTGCATTTAGATCTCTGGTCCATTTCAAGTTAATTTTTGTGCATGGTGAAAGTGGGGACCTAGTTTTATTCTTGTGTACCATTTATTGAGGCTATCCTTTCTCCAATGGATGGCCTTGGTGCTTTTGTCAAAAATCAGTTGCTAAAAATAAGTGGTTTTTTTTTTTTAAACTAGGGTTTGAACTAACTCAACTTCACACTTGCTAGGCAAGTTCTACACCTCTTGAGCTACGCCCCAGCCTTTTCTGCTTTAATCATTTTTCAGATAGGGTCTCGTGCTTTTTCCTGGAGCTGGCCTCAGATCACTACCCTCTTAACTCTGCCTCCCAAGTAGCTGGAGTTACATGTGTACCTCCACACCCAGTTTATTTATTTATTTTTTCTGAGATAGGGCCTTACTCTTTTCCCCAGACTGGCCTTGAACCACAATCCTCCAATGTCTGCCTCCTGAGTAGCTGGGATTATAGGTTGAACCAACACACCCAGCAAAATATGTGAATTTATTTCTGGGTTTTCTGTTCTGTTCCATTGGTCTATGTCTCTGTTTATGTCAGTCCCAGGCTGTTTCAGTTACTATTTCTTTTTAGTATGTTACTGTGATGCCTCCAGCTTTGTTCTTCTTGCTCAGGACTGTTTTGGCTATTTGGGGTCTTTTGTGGCTTATACAAATTTTTGGAGTGTTTTTTCTGTTTCTATAAAGAATGCCTTTGAAAGTTCAAAAGTGATCACACTGAATGTGTAGGCCACTTTGGGTAGTAGGAATATTACAATTATCCATGAACATGGGGCATTTTTCCTTTTGTTTGTGGTCTCTTCAATTCTCCTGTCAGTGTTCTACACTTCCTTCCTCCTTGCTTAAGCTCACTCCCAGGGTTTGGTTTTATTTTGTTCTTGGTGGCTATTGTAAACAGATTGCTGTCTTGACTTCTTTTTCAGACAGTCTGTTGTTGGTGTACTGAAATGCTACTGATTTTTCTACAGTGATTTTCTTGTGTCCTGTAACTTTACTGTATTTGTTTACCGTTCTAAATTTTTCTTTTTAGTTTTTAGCTTTCTTTAATTTTTTTCTATATGTAAGATCATTTCATCTGCAAATTGGGATAGTTTGACTACCCACCATTTTTCCAGTTTGGATGTCTTTTCTTTTCTTTTCTTTTTTTCTTTTCTCTTCTCGATCAATCTTGCAGTGCTATGTTGAACAAGGAGGGTGAAAGTGCCATCCTTGCGTTGTTCAGATCTTAGGGGAATCACTTTAGCTTTCCACCTTCAGGATGATGTTAGCTGTGGGTTTGTTATATGCAGCCTTAACTGTCTGCTTTGTTGAGCATTTTCATCACAAAGGGATTTTGAAAGAAATTACATCTTTTGTCCAAGTTTCCAAACATATGGGTGTAAAGTCATGCTACTTACACATTACTGTTACCCCGTTCTGTCTCCTTCTATGTTCCTATGAATTCCCTCACTTTTAGAATTAATCCATCTGGCCCATATTTTATTAATATTAATTCATTGGTATTCTTAAAACACTTCTGCTGCAGTGGTTTGTTTTTCTGTAGCATTGACTGCTGTTTAAATAACTTCTTTTGTTTTTATCTTGTTTTATTTCTCCGGGTTTATTCTGTTGTGCATGCGTGTATGACTAAGAGGTAAGTCATGTGTGGCACACGGAGGATCTGCCACAACGCAAAGGCCGTGCATGTCTTCCCCCTTGTCATGGCTGGTCCCCGTGGACAGCGGCACTTCCTACTCTGCGGCACCCTCCCCGCCTTTCTCGTTCCTTCACAGGTCTCCACTCTCTTGTTAAACATACTCACTGTACTTCCATCTGCTAGCTCTAGAAGTTCTCTGCAAAGGCCTTTTCCATTCTGTACTGCTGCCCTTACCTGAAATGGTCAGACTTGTTTCCCCCTAGTGCTGTGCACTGTGTTATCTCAGCAGTTCACCCCAGCCGAGCAGCTTAGCCTTGGACCATGTCCCTGTCTTGTGTTGGTTTCCTCAGCAGCTTGGAGTGCTTCTCCTAGAGCCACTCTGTGCAGCTATCTCCATCTGTGCTTCTGGACTATGTCGTTAGCATGAACTCCATCCCCTAGCCTGCAAAGGCAGGCGTGACAGTCACCAGGCAGGTGCTCTTCAGTAACGAGGAAGAAGACAAGCTGGGGGTTGTTCCAGGGGCTGGAAGTTCAACCTCCCAGGCAGACAGAGAGGGCCCAGCTCCAGGTGGGTTCTGTTCCACTTCCTGTCTTGTGAGGCCACACCTTGCTTCTGTTCCCACGAAAGCATGAAATGCAGGACGTTATGGGGACCAGCAAACTCCCCAACAGGGCGTGTGGTGTTGGCTCAGGCCTTCACTCTACTATTCAGTTCTACCGCTCTTTTTGGTCCCCAAAGATTTCCCTCCACTTCTCGAGAGCTCGTTGGTGCGTTTAAAAGGATTTTGTATGCTGCAAAGATGTTCTGCATCTTTGTATCCAACCAAGGTGAAATGGAAGCCAAACACCTGTGCTTTATGTGGACAAACTAACCGGAAGCAGGTGTTGGGGGAGGCATGATGGGACTGGTGGGGGTAGGACAAGTGTGGTTAGCTGAAGAATCTTCAGGCATTGTCTACGCTGTGTCCGTGACATAAACAGTTTACTGCATAGCTAGGAGACATCTGCCACACACCCAGGATTTCTTTTACCTAAAAAGAAACAAAACCTGGCATGATAGTGCAGGCCTGTAACTCTAGCGTTGGGAAGACTGAAACAAGAGGACTGGGCTACACAGTGAAGCCCTGTTTAAAAAAGAAAAAGGAAGACAAATGTGGCAACCATATTACCAGTCATGCTTTATACCCTTCTCTAGCTTGTTAATTGCTCTACAGCTAAGAGAAAAGGAAGAGAAAGGAGGAGGAGGGACAGGGGCCCCAGGACTCCTTACCTTCTCCTGGTACAGTTTGTGGAGCCACTGCGCTGCGTCCTTCTCATCCACTGGGATGTCTTCCAGGGGGAACCTCCTGTTCCATTGAGAAGATCAAGCTCAAATGAGTTACCTAATGACATCAACTCAAAGGGGGAAAGGGGACAGATGACTGCGCCTAAGGAAGGCCCTGCTTGTTCTATTCAGGTCTCACGCTTAAGTTTTAAAACAGGAGACATCAAAGCAATTCCTCCTTGGGCATTCATTGTGAGCACACTGTGGTCCACTGGGCACTGCCATGGCCACTAAGCAGGGTCAAAGAGACCTCTACATTTGGGGACACCTGTGCGCAACCTGCCCAGCAGGGCACTTCTCTAATTTTCCCCACAAAGCTGAGGGCTCATGGCTTCCACAGGCACTTTGGTCTCAACGTGTTCATCTTTTGGAGATAATCAGGACTGAGAGTGTGCTGTGATTACTCTCAATTGTCAACTTGACTGGATTGAGAGACACCTAGAGATGAGTAAAGCTGACCTCTGGGTGTCTGGGAGGGGTTTCCAGAGATGATTATATCATGGGGCTCTGAGTAATTAAAGGCTTAATGCACTGATGGGACTAAGAAGTAGATGATGGGGGGAAGTTCTACAAGGTGGGGCCTGGTGGGAGGAAGTGGGCACTGAGGATGTGTCTTTGAAGAGTAGATCCTGGCAAAGGCCCCTTCCTGTTTCCCTTTCAGTCCCCGGCTGCCATGAGGTGGGCACTTCTTCTCTACCACGTGCTCCCCACCATGATGCCTCGCCTTCCCTCAGCCCCACAGCAATGGAACCACCCATGGACTGAAGCCACAAGACAAAGTCAGCCTTGCCCCCTTTATATCATCACAGTGATGCCAAAGGAAGCGCTCAAGCTTTCACTAAGCAAGGAGGGTTGCGTCTCACAAAGGAAATCTTAAAGTTGAGAAGCTTTAATTTCACCTTGCAAATGCGTAACTTCTGCTAGGACCCTGGCTGTGTGAATACCTGACCTACCAACAGGGCGTTTGCTCAGCAGATGAGCACAGGGCGGTGGCCTGATGACCATAACTGGAGTATTTCCCATCCCTAACACAGTACAGCTCCCACTGTGAAAGCAGTTATAATTTGAATAAGGTACAAGCCACTCACAGAAGTAATATTAAGACCTTTCCAATATTTCTAAAGGTTAGCAAGACAACAGTTTGTTAGCTGGGATCACAATGGTGGCTCTAAGAAAGCAGAAATGCAGTGCCCATGGGAGGTACAGACCTATCTCACCGGTCAGGAGGCAGATGTGACCACTGTCACATGTTGAAAAAACATGTCCTGACCTCCTGGATGGCAGTGGGATGGAAGAGAGACATAAAGGCACCTGTGGAGGAGTGCTCAACTGTCCTGAGAGCTGGCCAGGCTCATCTGGACCTTTTTTTTTCTTTGAGTGCCAGGGATGGAACTGAGGACTTTATACATGCTGGAAAAGTACTGTACCACTGAGTCACATCCCCAGCCCTCATCCTGGATTTATATAAGGGAGAAATAAATCTTTGTATTGTAAGCTTTAAGAAGAGCTCAAAGTAACCCTCTCCCCCCTTCCCAAAACACTAAGAAAACAAAAACAAACAAACAAGCAAAAACCTAGACACCTGCTTTCCATGGGCTACTGTAATACCTCACAGTGCCCAAGAGGGGGCATAGTGTCCCAGGCTGGCTAGGATAGAGCTCCCCCTAACATCCACATGACACATTGCCAAGCTCCCCAGGGGACGCATGAAACTAGATAATAGTGGAACCTCTATGTGCTATGATTTTCCTATAAACACTGCACTACTGCCAAAGAAGTACCAGAGTTCATCTGTCCTTCCATGTTTTATGCCCTGTGCCTCCTTTGTGTCACTATTCTTGTACTTTGGGACCAATGTTAAATGCCACAAAGGTCACTTGCACACAAGCACTGCAGTCTGATAACTGGAGGGCCACGAACTAAGTGCTAACAGGAGGGCAGTATAGACAATGCGGATACGTCAGGAAAAGGGATGGTCCACGTCCCACGTGGGGCAGAACAGGACTGTGCGTAATTTAAGATTCATGAATGGTTTATTTCTGGACATTTCTATTTAATATTTTCAGACCCCAGTTGATTATGGGTGATGAACCATGGATGGGGAGGATTACCAGCATGAACTTGGTCCTGGTGAGGGCCTTGGCTGCCCACCCTGGTGGGCCCAAGCAGCTTCTTCCACAGGGTGAAAAAGTTTCAGTTTTATGTGGGTTCTGCCTACCGACCTTCACCACATCAGAAATGAACAGCTTTGTACAACTCGAGGGCCCACGGGGCAGGCAGAAGAGCAGGGCTGGGGCCATGTGCCTTGCAGGGTGCCACTATCCACTAGAAAGCCTACAAGACTGAAGAAGCAACTGCTTCCTAGTGGACAAAATATTTTAACCCTGTGGCCCCAGGGGCCCTGGCCACATGCTGGGAACTGTGTTTGGAGGATTTGCTCCTGATAGTGCTCAGTCAGGGATGGGACAAGAACGTGCCTCCTATAGCAAGAGGCCTGCCTTCCTGCCCCCCATGAAGTGCACGTGTGTGCACTTGTGTAACTTACAGACTGCACACACACACCCCATGTGCATACACCATAAACACACAAGTCACATGCACGTATACACATACAACATGGGTCTTACTTAATGCATACTGTGTGCATTATGAAATAAGTAAAAGTGACCAAAGTGTGAACTGGGTTTTGTTGGTGGTCTGCTCCGGTGACTCGCCCTGGGTGTTGGTCTCCTAGAATAACTCAGTACCCCAAGGCTGTGGACCCACGTGCCAGTCATGGGAACAGGAACACCACAGGGCCACCTGGGGAACCAATTTCTCTTCAGGAGTCCGAGGTCTGGGAGCACTGGAGCGGCAACACATACGGCCAACCCTGAGACACCTGACATTGACCCTGTGTCACGAAGCAGCCACACAGGCTGCTCTCTGTGTGGGGACTCTGCTATGGCTCAGAGCAAAGTCTCAGGCTGCTCAAACAGGGATCTGGACATGTCCTTTTCATGGGTCCCCTGGGGACAGGGCTGGGAGCACACATAGCATGAAGTCCCCACATCCACAAGACCTACCCTGGACTGCTGCTTTCTATAGATCTGAGACCCCTCTCTCTGTGGGGCCCAAGCCACCAGAGGCAGCAGTGCCAATGGGCAGCATTGCTCCACCAGGGACTCTGTAGGAGGCCCCATTCTGCCTGCCCTTGAGAGGTTCTGGGTCTCATCCTTCAGAGGTCAGAGGTTATCAGTTAGTCCATCAGGTCATGTGACTGGCCCAGGAGACCTACTGACCCAGGTCTGATTTGAGACCAGGTCAGGGAGCGACAGAGTTTACTCAGAGCAACCTGCATAGGCTTCCAAGGAAGCCCAGAGAGGACACAGCTGGGGACGCTGCGGGTCCCCTATCCCCTCCCTTTGACCATGTCCCCCTGGTGGCCTCCCTGAGTGGTGCTGCAGAAGGCTGTCCATCCCTCTGTGCTCACCTCACACACATGTCGGCCATATACTTCTTCCCATAGAGGATCCCCAGCAGAGATGGGTTCTTGTTTCCTCTGAAATTCAGGGTCACGTCGTAGATAGCTGCGACTATGGGGAGGAGAAATGGCCCAATGAGTGATGGAGGAACCATGCATTCCAGGGTGGAAGGTGACGTCCAGCCCAACTCTCCTACTGATGTGTGCGTTCAGATCCGCTACCCACGGCCTGTTTGTGTGTCCTTTGTGCCCTATGTCCCTTTCCGTCTTTTACCTGACTCCTTTCAGATTAGCTAGGTCTATTACAGTTTCCTTCACAAAGTTCACCATCACACACGTTTTGTTAGAATTCTGCTTCCCACTATTTTTACCTAGCATTTCATCTGAAAAAATGACACAAGGCCCGTACAACTGGACTCCACTCCCTCCCTCCTTCCCTTTGTGTTTCTGGGGTATTTTACATGTAAAGCACTTATTTGTTTTCACTTTTTGCTGCACATGGGAGCAGAGGGCAGCGGTGGCTCTGCCGGTCACCTGACTCGGGCCCTACCTGTCCCCCGGAGGCACTGGACCGCAGTGGTGAAGCCCTTGGTCCGTGGCAACAGGTGGTACTTGAGGGGGGGCAGCCCCTTGGAGGCAGCCACCTCCATGCTGACACGGTGCTTGGTCTCCGTGAAGCGCGTCCCTTCGCAGTACAGGAGAAACTAGGATGTGGAGGACCATGGGGACAGTTAATTCCAGATATGAGGGGGGAGCAAGAGCCCTGACTGACAGTCAAGAGCATCCCAGGTCTCACGTGCAGCAAAGCATTCGTGGCTGAATTTGTAGAAATCACAGAATCACAGAAGCACTCTAGTGACAAGCACATGGTGCAATTTGAAATGTCATTTTATTTTAGGGCTGCAATCTGCACCGCAGTCACAGAAACACATGCACACAGCAAGGCTTTCCTGGAGGAACTCAAAGAAGCGAAACCTGAAGGTGTCTCTGGGCAGCAGAAGACAGAAAAAGTCTGCTGTCCCCAAAATGCCAGCACTAGAAATGTCAGTAAGGAGCCAGGTTTCCAAGAAGAGATCAGAAAAGGGAGGAGACAGGACTCAAGGTGTGTGCCACAGAGGACAGTTTTGGGGGAGGGCTTCCCATGGCCGCAGGGTGCTGTGGGTCCAAGCTGTGGCAGGGACAGGTGGAAGCAGTCCCTTCCCAAAGGAAGAGGCTCAGCAGCAGAGGGTCCCATGGAAAGCTGAGTGATATCTACAAGCCACCACTGTGTCGCAGCCCGTGCCATACACTCACCCACATGTACTCAGGGTAATCAGCCAGGCGTTTCAGTCCCTCCATGACAGTGTCCCGGTCCTCCTCCCACTTCCGCTTGCAGAACACGATCTCCAGGAAGTACCACGTCCAGCCGATGAGGGGCACGTACAGCAGCTCCTTCTTAGCCAGCACTTTGGAACTCTGTAGGGAGGGGAGGCTGTGGGCACACTGAGGGGGAACTCTGTAGGGAGGGGACTGAGGGGGGCTGGCCAGACCATGGAGGAGGCCCAGGACGACTGTCACTGCAGGGCCTGGCTCAGTGTTACTCTGATGGCTGTGGGTGTTCTGGTTCAAAGCATTTGCCATAACTAGGGACCCTGGCTTCTGAGTGTGCGTTACCAGGGATCGGCACCACTGGAGAGGACAGAGTGCCATCCCAGAAGCCAGGAAACTGCTCAAGGGACAAATCCTCCTGGGGAGGGTGACAGGATGCAGGACAGTGCCTTGGGCTCTAAGGGCCCTGTTCTGACCACAGCCTCCCTGAGATGGCTGAGGGTCCTCCCTCACAGCCCCTGCCCAGGGCCGTTCAGCTCATCTCAGTGCAGTTTAAATTTTAGCTAACTGTGGGCCTCAGATGGGCTCCTTTGGAAGGTAAAGATTAAAGATGAGAAAGGAAGTCACAGCTTGTCCCAGTCCCAAGAACAAGTTCAGGACTGTGGAGGACACCCTGTAGGTGAGGCCCTTCAGCCACTCACTGCCCAGCTCAAAGGAACCAGGCCTGCAAAGCTCCAAGGAAGGAACCCTCAGAATGGGGCTCCAGGCTCCAGGGAGCTCCCTCCAGGACCCTCGCCCACCACTGCTCACTCTAGCCCCTCCCTGGCATCCCTGCCACTCCACCCTCAATCCCTCCCTGGCACCCACCTTGGTCACTCATCCCCAGGTCCCCCTGGGGCTCCCATCACTCACCCCTAGCACGCCAAACCGCTCACACATGGTCCATCCACAGAGGAAGTCAATTTCAAAGTTGTGGTTCAGGATGATGACCACGTGCTCCTTCCCAAAGTGGTCCACCGTGGCCTGGTCGGTGAAGAGGGTGCACTCTGTGCAGGACCACCACTCCAGGAGCATGACCAGCTCTGTGGATGGGTGCGGAGAGGGGTTGGTCCAGTGCAGAACAGGTTGTGACAGCGCCTCCCCTCCCCGTGACCCTGGGCTCTCTGACTTGTGCTGGAAGCGCCCACGGAGGACATGTACAGCATTCTCCTCTAGAGGAGAATTTTCTGCTAAAAACAAGTTCTTGGGGCTTATGATTTTTGTTTTTTGTTTGTGGGACTGGACTTTGTGCTTGCAAAGTAGGTGCTCTACCGCTTGAGCCGCACCTCCAGGCCATTTTGCTCGGGTTACTTTGGAGATGGGGTCTTGAGAACTCCTTGTCTGGCTGGCCTCAAACTGTGATCCTCCTGATCTCGGCCTCCCAAGTAGCTAGGATTACAGGTGAGCCACCAATGCCTGGCTCAGAGCTCATGTTTAACGTCTCCCCAAATCACAAAAGCCAGGGGAAAGGAAACAGAAGCCTGTGTGCAGCTGCCATTCTCACAATGCTGGGCTCAGTGGTGTGTCACAAGGCCACCAGTGACACTGAGCTTATGTGGGAGGTGGCAGCTGTGTCCCGTGTACCCCCATGTGGCCACAGGATGAAGGGTTGGAAAAATGAAAGCAGCACCGTAATAGAAATATGGTTAAGCTTTCTCCTACAACTTTCTTTGGTGTAATATTATTTTCACACTTAAAAGAGCAAAACAAAAAAGGGCCTGAGGAGGGGGCTCCCTCACTGACTACCACTGGCCAGGAGTCAGCAGGTCTCCCAAAGCCGTCAGGGTACACTGAGGCTAGGTTTTCCAGGACCTTACAGTCTTGCATCCCATTGCACTAGTCAAGGGATTTTGGCAACTCCTCCAGAGTGCCTTCCTGGCTCCAGTCCCAGGCACTGAGGTGTATCCTAGGACTGGGGGTGACCACCGTACTGCCCAAAGCTGCTTCGGAACAAACTGGGACTCCCCTCTGGAGGACTCAGGGAAGCTTAAGTTCAGCTCCACGAGAACAGCAGGTCTGTAAAGTTCATGGTAAGAGCCCAGCATGTTTGTACAGCACAAAATCCAGTCGAATGAGCCTCCGTCAGAGTCTATGTAGGTACAGGGATGGGGGAAGCCTGAAGGCGGGCATTCCATCTGGGTGAGGGATGGGCAGAGCGCCCTAGCAGGCCCCAGCACCTGTGTGGTCAGCAGTTGGTGTCACCCCAACCCTGGACCTTACAGGACCAGTTTCCACAGCATGTGGTTTCCAGATGCAGGACAGGACACAGCCTGTGCTTCTGGTGCTGGACCCCAGCCCATCGCTCCCCAGTAGAGTCTTCTACTGAGAACCATCCCTCGGGGACAGACACCCAGGAAAACTGAGGGGCTCGAAGATGGACCCCATGCATGTAGGCAAGGACATGGCTGGCTGGGAGCCCTGTGCACTCCTGGTGAGAGCCGCAAAGGGGGAGCTGCTTGGGGAAACTGTTGGGCGGATCCTCAATAAGCGTTTTCCAAATAGATGTCGCCATGTGACACAGAAGCAGCATTCCTCCACGCACACCGAGAGCTGGACACACGTCCACGCACACCGGGAGAGCTGGACACACGTCCACGCACGCCGAGAGCTGGACACACGTCCACGCACGCCGAGAGAGCTGGACACACGTCCACGCACGCCGGGAGAGCTGGACACACGTCCACGCACGCCGAGAGCTGGACACACGTCCACGCACGCCGAGAGAGCTGGACACACGTCCACGCATGCCGAGAGAGCTGGACACACGTCCACGCACACCGAGAGCTGGACACACGTCCACACAGAAGCCCACAGAGGCACGCGTGCTGCAGCAGCACTCACAGCCACCAGAGTGGAAACAACTCAAGTGCCCTCAGATGAGGCCACTCAGCCACAGCAAGGGATGAAGTCAGACGCCCACTACAGCCCACAGAACCTTGAAGAGAGGCGGCGTGCCCACAGCGGAAGCCAGACATACAGGCCGATCCACAGACACAGAGCACAGGGCCGTGGCTGCCAGGAGCCAGGAGGGTAGACCAGGGAGTGGCTGCTAAAGAACGCAAGGCTTCCTTTGGGATGAAGATGCTGAAGTTAGACTAGCTGTGCTTGCACCCCTGGACTGTGTGCTCTAAGTGGGAAAAGCAGGCAGGGCTTGCCCACTGGAAAGGAGGTGCCACTAACCAAGGGCTCTCCCCTCTGCAAGGGACACCAGTGGGACCTGGCAACATGGCGCGGACTGTTCCCTGGCCTGCAAGTTCTTATCCAGATGGAGGACACCCTTCTGTAGCTGGCAGTGTGAGGATGGTCATATGGAGACAGGGCTACGTCTAATGCTGGGTGTCAGAGCCGGCTCCAGTAAGGACACTTGCCAAAAACTCTCCCTCTTGGTCACCCTGGGTGTCCAGGTACAGCTCGCTACCCGCAGCGCAGCACAGTGCTCGACGGCAGGTCTAGAACCTGTTTGTCTTGCAGTGTGGAAATGGTATGCCCATGGTTGACAGCTCTGCACTCCCCTGCCCCACGGCCAGCAGTCTGCTCTCTGCTTCCTGGATGAATGGGATCACGCAGCATTTGCCTTTCTGTGTCTCTGCATGATGCCCTCAAGGTTCATCCATGTTGTCTCATGTGTCGGACTGCCTTCCTGCTTTTTGAATAACATTCCACTAGGAATTCCCTCTAGCCCCTCATCCCTTATCCATCCACTTGTTGATGGGTTCCTAGCTGTTTCTACTCCAGGACTCTTGTGAACAGTACTGCAGTGACCAGGGAGTCAAGCGTGTCTTCATGGGAGCTGGCCACATGAACTCACCCTACTGGTTTACCAACCACAGGGGTGGTTATTAGGTAGGGCAATGGCCCACATTAGTCTGGACTCTGAAGCCAACAGCCTGGCCAAGCCCAGGGCCGCCTCTCACCTAGCCCTCTCTGTGAAGCAGTCACTCCCTCAAGGGCCACCAGAAGGTCACAGAGCCCACGCACAAGTGCTGATCATGCTTCTGGCTGTGACAGTTCTTAATGGAGGAAGACACACAGGAAGCCCACAGGTAAAGGGAGGGGGTGGTGAAAGATCAAGACCCCCACGAGACATTTCTGAATTTTTTTAAAAGAAACTTTTCAGAGATATCTCTCCATTAAGTGACAACACACATCCCTCTCACATGAGCACTCACATTCCATGGCTGGGCGCCTTCTATACACGACTGTCCCCGCCCTAACCTGAGGGTTGTACACTGAGAGTGACAGACTCGGGCTCCCAGCAGCCTCCTGCTACTCCCACCGAGTGTCTCTTCCCTGAAGCCTGGGCAACTTGCAAGGCCTGGGGTTTCTTTTCTACTGATTACCTGTGGCTGGAGTGTGGCTCAGTGGGAAGTGCTTGTCTGTGCAAGGCCTTAGGTCCCATCCCCAGCACTGATAAGAACAGTGGTCAGGCGCACAGAAGGTGCAGCTCCCACACACTACTGTGTGCCAGTGCACCAGGGGCAACTGTGGTCAGTGCCCCAGCCCAGGAGGGCCACAGGTACCTGCAGGCAGCACTGGGAGGGGAGCTGCAGGACTCCTGCAGCTCAGGTGGCTCTGACCTGCTATTACTGCCTGGTGGATGCAGGTGACAAGGATGCAGAGACACAACTGTCCCCTGGGCCATGGGTGACACACTGATAGGCCACGCATCCTTCACAAGGGAAACACTGTGAGTGGATGGCAGCCTGGGTAGGAAGAGGTCTTGCATTTGGGCAAGAGGATGCCACTGATGTCCCCCTAGCATATGTGCCCCAAGGGACACATGACTCAGGGTGTCTCACCCTGGCTGACATGCTATGTTGGGGACCTCCATCTTTGGGACCAGCAGGAGAGGTTGGGCCCAGGTGAGGGGTGCTGATACTCTGTTCCAGAGAAGGGCCTGGAGACCAGAGGGCAGCCTGGAGGACCGTCTGTGTCACCAAGTGTGGCACCCAGAGGCTGGCCTCCAGCAGGTCTCAGGACATCTCTGCCAACCTGCAGGTCCCTGCATGCAGCGTCCAGGATGACATCTGTAAAGTGGCTCTCACATGGCGGCTGGCTCCTGGGCTCAAAATGAAATTCTTTTTGACTGTTTCCTTCATTCAAATATGTGCTTCCCTTAAATACAACGAGCAAGCCATTCTTTGCACATTTCAACCGCTGGTTTGGAAAAATTCAAAATTTGCCTAATCATAGTTACAATTCCCTGAGTGTTACTGAACACCTGCTCTGTGCAATGATCCAGTCTAACCTGTAGCTTCAGGTAGGCGATTTGATCTCTGTCTCACAGTGAGAAAGCTGGTCAGGCCGGGGCTGGCTGGGAGCAGGGAGCCTGAGCTAGGCTGGGTGGCTCCACGCACACTGGACCCACGCCCTGCCAGCTGAGGTGCACACAGCACAGGGCATGCAGGAACAGGGTTAGGAGAGGCAGCAAAAAGCCCAGGCTTCAAGGAATGAGACCAGCAAGCAGAGCTGAAAATGGAGCCGCAGTCCAGGGTCATTAAAAACCTCAGCAGAGCAGGAGGACCGACTCAAGCGGCAGAGCACAAAATCCTGATTCAAACCCTGTGCCTCTCACCACATGCCAGAGCACCTGGCTTTGCTTTCCTGATCCCTCCCTCTGTCTCTGCTGTGTTCCTCCTCCTTTCTCTCCCTCCCTCCTACTCTCCCTCCCTCCTACTTTCACTCTCCCTCTTCTTTCCTTCCCTCTCTCATTTCTCTCTCTCTCCCTCCCCTCCCCCTCCCCAGGTTCCCCTCCCTTTCTCTCTCTCTCTGCCTCTCTCCCTCTCCCTCTCCCTCTCTCTCTCTCTCTCTGGATTAAGTGATCCTGCCAAGTAGCTGAGACTACAGGCTCACATCACAGCACCACCCAGCTTAATCCATCTTTCCCCAATACTTTGGAAGGACGCCTGACTTTTCTTTCTTTGACCTTATGCTTAGCTAATGATATCTACAGGCAAGATGTGAACCCTGTACCTGACGGACCGAGGCCAGTAGACCCCTAACGTGGTCACCCCACTTCCTGATATACAGCCTGCGACTGCACAGTGTTTTGTCCTGACCCACAAAATGAACGTTGTTATTAGAATCTCAATTCTTAAGATTTACCTGAGTTCCAATTTCTTTGGCTACCATTCTTGAAACTCAGACCATTCTTGTTTTTTTTCTTGGTTTGAACTCAGGGCCTCACACTTGGTAGGCAGGTGCTCTACCACTTGAGCCACTCCATCATTTCCACAAAGGACATTCTTTAAACAAATGTAGGTGGTGATCTGTGAGCAGTGAACACTCTGGATTTTGCTTAGCTAAATTGTTATTAATTTTATTCCATTTTTTTCCTGGAAGGTCGTCTGCTGAGGGCATGTTCGAGGTTGACAATAATTTTGCCCCACGTCAGTTTTGCTGAGGATGGTCTTCGTCTTCCATCCAGCACCATGTGGGCTGCCTGCTGCCCGTCTGTCACCCTGGCCAGGGCTCAGCCTCCTCTGGTGTTCTCAAGGCCTTTCCTCTACCTCGGTGGCTCAGTTCACTGAGCTGTGTCCAGATGGCTTCTGTTTCTTTTCTCTGCGTTTGGATTTTTGTGTCCTGCAGTCAGGTTGTGCCAGAAGCATTGCTTCTTGTCCTTTCCTCTTGGGCAGGAGCCCACACCCTGCTTCTCCTTCCACCCTAATGTTACCCTTCTCACTGCGGTGCTGCACTCAGGGAAGATGGTCATCCTTGTGTCCCATCTACTTATTCTCTCATTAGCCGTGTCTACTCTGATGCAAACTTATCAAGTTTCTGCTTTATAGTAAAAACTTTCATAACACAAGTTCTACGGGGCTCTTCTCACATCTGGCCACCTTGGTAGTCTTCTGTCTAAGCCTCTGTTCTTAATCATGGCTCACATGGATCTGCTCAGCCTGTGGAGCTCCGTGGGCCCCAAGGGCACACTGCTCATCTCTGCCTGGACCAAGGCCAGCTGACCAGTGCCCCTTGGCCCCTCAGCCCCTCACAGCCACCAGTCAAGGCTCTAGACAGGCGATGCGCATGGCCTGCTTCGTGCCACACTCTCCATCTTTGCTGTGAGATTTTCCTCACTCACAGGATTTGGCTGTTTTGCAGGATTTTGTCTTCAGGTTACTACTGAAGCTAACTCATTTGTATGTTTTAGATTGCAGGATTTCTAATTCTCCTTTCCCATGGAAAACCATAGGCCTTTTCTGTTGAGACAAGCTGGGAGGAAGGGTGAGGCTCCAGTCTCTGCAGACAGCAGGGAGTCTGGTGACACACTGCTGCTGGGAAGGGACAAAGGCAGAGGGGTCTGTAGACACCATTTCCTGTGTGAAACAGAGTGCATGTGCTTTATGCTAAGAAAGTTGAGCTGCAGACAGTGTGAAAGGTGACATGAAGCCCCTCCTTCATCCACTCCCTGGACACCATCATCATTCAGGTCTCCTGCACCTCCCAGAGGACCTCTTTGCACGTACAGCCATGTATACACCTTTACAAAGGTGGCATCTTTTAAAAAAAATGACACCACATAAATGGTAGCATACTATGTACTTTGTTATACATTTTCCTTTATCACTTAAAAATGCATTTAGAAGCCAGGCATGGTGGTATATGCCTGTAATCACAGCACTTGGGAGGCTGAGGCAGGGAGAACACAAGTTCACAGCTGGGATATCACAGAGTGGGCTACACAGCAAGACTGTCTTAAAAATCCAAAAACTAAAACCAAACCAAACTACAACAAAAAAGCGTTTGAATATGGTTCTTTTTCTGTTTTGTTTTTTGAGACAAGTTCTTACTATATGACCTAGGCTGGCCTTGAACTCATTATATAGCCCAAGCTGGTTTTGGCACCACTGTGTCACTCAGGCCTGAACTCCAGATGCTCTTGCTTCTGTCTCCTGAGTGCTGGAACTACAGGTGCAGCCACCAGGCCTGGTGAAAGATGACCGTCTACCAGTAAAGACAGTGTGCCCTGGTTTTTGGTGGCTGTGTGGGTGCTCATAGAAGGGATACAGCAGAACTAGTCTCCATTAGGGATATGGGACACTGCCAGTTTTGTGCCAATACAAAAATGACAATATGTGAAAACTTGTCCATAACACAGGTATTTTTGCTGACACCACTTTTTTTTTTGTAGAGAATCTGAGTCAAAATTGTCTCATTTAAATTGTTGACAGACACTGTCAAAGCCACTCTGAAAGATGGACCTGTTCACATCCCACGAGTGAGCAGGTCTCTAGCCATGTGGCAGGTGTGAATGCATTCAGATGGACAGACACACATCTCCACTCACATGACTAAGGGACAGCAGTAGTGACACATTGGTACACACGGTGCAGGACCTGTTGCCTGAGGCTGGCCTTACTATGCCCTGGGGAGGGGACAGCAGATGTACTGGAGGCTGGGCCGAGGGTGACTGTGTTTATTAGTCTCTTCACCTTGGTTGGTTTAAAAACATCCACGGTTCCCTGTTAAGCCACATGAAATTGCCACTTCTGTGGTGCAAAGCAGCCTGACATGGGGACTTCACCGGGTTCAACCTAGTAACCCAGTCTCCAAACCTGAGCACCTGTTCACAGTCGAGTGTGTGCGGCCAGGGAACTCTGGAAGGCGGGAGAAGCTCAACTGTTCGTTCCTCACCGGGCTCCAGCTCACATCCCCTCTCCAGCAGCCCTGCCGGGGAGCTGAGGCTGGGGGCACCGCTCCCCGGGGGACCGCAGCTGCAGGCTGCAGATACTCACGGCTCCAGAGCGAGTAGGCCAGGCGGCAGTTCACACGGCGGTACAGCTGCTTGCTGATGGGCCAGAGGGCCAGCGTGCACAGCTGGGTGAAGTTGATGGTCAGCCCGCTCACCACGAAGACGAACCCGATGAGGAGGTGCACCACGAACTGGGTCTTCAGGTAGGCGAGCAGGCCCATGGTCGCTGATCAGGGGTGGGCGCAAGGTCCTTCGCTGAGAACAGCCGTCCTGCAAACACAGGGCACAGCGGTCAACGTGCGAGGGGACCCGCTGCAGGCTGCAGGCTGGCAAGGCCCTGGGCCCCAGTCGGAGCCCCCGCCGAGCCACAGACCGAAGCGGCTCACTGCGCCTGCTCTGAGAGCCCTCTGGAAATAACAGGACTGTGACTGACGGACACATGCCGTCCATCTGTGCATCACACACACAACACACGCACGAAGCACATCACACTCTATACACACGTCACGCACTCCTGGCACACTAACCCAGCACCACACACACACTAACACAATGCCACACGCTACACACATGACACGTGTGCATGGTGGCGTCCATGGAATGACTACTTGCACTTGCTGAGGGCCGTGGCTGTGTCCACCTCTGGGATCCAGAATAAAGACCACGCCCATGCGTGCTGTGCTGCATCTCTGTGTGGACACAGCTTTCCTTAGGAGTCACTTTAACCACTGTCGTCAGTGTTGACAGATCACTCCCTGACGTGCGTCCTGAGTCTCTGGACTAGAAGCTTGCACTAACCCCTCAGCAGGCAGTCCCATGGCCCTGGTGCCACCTACCATTCATTCTCTTCTCAAACTCTGATGCCCGGGTCCAGCCTCAAGGTCAAAGTCTGTGGGTCTAACCATGAACCTTGACAAGGACAGATGGACCTGGCCAAAGCCCATACTCGGCAGGGTAGGCTTTGGCCCTGCAGCTCAGTTCTGGCAGCAAAACTAAACTGCCCATCCCACCCCACAGCCCAAGGTCACTACCTGCCCAGTACACACAAAGCCATCTGAGATGGTGTCCCACTGGCTGCCCTGCTCCTTGGTCACCTGACATATGTCCTTGCTGATGAACGTCAATCTCCACCCCCTGGATGTCCATGTGGGGCCAGAACACATGGCTTCGCTGCTTCCTGTGGGCTGCACCTACGGAATGTCTCCATTTGCTTAATTTTAACTACTGCACTCAAGGAAACCCTTCCTCCAGTCACCCAGAGGGCCCCACAAGGACCCACTGCTTGGGCTGTGGCACGTCTGTGCCATCAGAGGGGTCATTCCGGCTCACAGGCCGCTGGGTGTCCTCCTGCATATCCTACACTCAGCGGCTAACTTGAAGACCACACCTCACGCCATCCAAGAGCACAGGTCCCCAGCAGCGTGAAGACCCGCCGCCCTTCCCGCCACAAGCCGGCTCCCTCAGCCCTCACCTGACAGTCTGCCTCCCAAGCCCTTTGCACTGTCAGAGCAGGAAAGCATGGGGAAGGAGCCTGGACTCAGTGCCCCAAAACCGTTGGCTTAGGCACCCCTGGAAGCCATTCTTAAAAAGTTACGTCTCCCCGACAACTTTAACTCGCCTTTTACAGTTGTTTCGTTTTGTTTTTGTCTGGACACAGGGTCCTTATATGTAGCCCAGGATGGTCTTGAACGTGGGACCCTCCTGGGATTATAGGCGTGTACCAGCATGCCTGGCTGACTTCTACATTTTTAAATCCAAGTTTAAATATGCAAAAGGTATAAATTCTGGCTTACTGCAAAATTTGCCTTTTTAAGGCATAACTTTAAGTGGTTTTTTTTTTTTTTTTAGCACTGGGGTTTGAACTCAGGACCTATACCTTGAACCACTCCACCAGCTCTTTTTTTTGTGATGGGCTTTTTGAGGTAGGGGCTTGTGAACTATTTGCCCGGGCTGGCTTCAAACCCTGATCCTCCTGGTCTCTGCCTCCTGAGTAGCTGGGATTACAGGCATGATCCACTGCGCCCCAGCAGCTTTAATTTTTTACGTGTAACCAATGGACTCCAATTGTCCTGGAAACATGGCAGCCCCTGCCAGCCCTACTCCAAAGCATCAAGTCCTTCTCATGAAGGGTGCCCTCCGTCCTGCTGTTTCCCTGGCTGTGTGTTTCACAGTATTCCTGCTCCACCATTTTATTGCCACGTGAAACCTGAAGTCTCTTTTACTTGGTACTATATAGGAAAGCGTCCTGTCGTCACCCCAATTTACTATTCCACAACCAAAATGTGGATGAATATTTACAACTTATTTTCACATCTCTTGCGCAGTCTGAGATAACTGTCAGCCAGCCACCCCGTCTCCCACAAGTCGGGATGACCCACTCTCTGCACCACAATCACACCTAAGAACTTCAGCAACGCCAAGAGAGCAGCACACTCCTGCTCCTCCAGCCGTCCCAGGACTTCTCAGCTGCTCGCTTGCCCAGGACGCAGCTGAGGAGCGCACAGCACTCTGTGCTTCAACCCCATACTCCCAGCCTCTACCCTGACGGCTCTGAAGCCTAAAGCAGCAGTCTTGGGGACGGTCCCCCAATGAGGAGCCTGCTTCCTCATGATCGTGCTAGGTTCAACACTTGTGCAGGGCACATTGGACAGCCCCTGCAAGCCCACAGGGGCACCTGACACCACTCTACAGGAGGCGTGACACTCCACCAGGTGACCTGGTGCCACCAGATGCACCTGTGTGAAAGTGCGGTATCGGCGGAATCTCTCTCTGCACGACCTGTCGGGGCAGTCTGAGGCCGAGCTGCCATCTAAACCTACTCAGTCATCATGCAGCCGGTCAGTGCCCCCCGACTCCCAGCCTGTGGCTGACTCAGCCCTTCCTCACACTTCCTGTTCTGACCTCTGGGCCTGGTGTGACCTCCAGGCACTAGCATGTCAGCAGCTGGAGGCCTGGCAGCTAGAAGGCCGACCAGGCACCTTTCCTGAGCTTGTTCCTATGTCCTCATCGATAATGTGTCTAGAGTGTTCCAAAGCCAGACTGGCATCAGCACATCTCAGTTCTGAGGGAGAGAGAGTTGCCTCCTGGGTTTCATCATGGCCCCTGTACCAGCACCCTCCTGGGCCAGGGGACCGCATCCCATCCCCTGCTCCTGGTGCTTGGGATGAGCTGTGGCAGGAAGCCACCCAGCACAGCCATGTATGCTGTGCTTACAGCAGAGGGAGGCCCTGTGAGGCTCTCAGGGCCCGCTGTACTGAGCTCAGCCTTCTTGCTGTTCAGAAAGCTTTGCACTTTATTTCCATGTCCCTGACCGTGCTCTGAATAGTGCTTGTTGCCACCTGAACTAAGACACTTTGACATACCGTCATGTCTTTGCCACCCTGTCCCTTCCTCAGTCCCGTTCACAGACTTCCTCCAGTGTTTCCTGACCAGGACCAGCAGGGCTGAAGCCATCCCCCCAACACGCCACACAGCAGCCCTCCACACAGGCCTGCTCTCATACTGCACATGAGGGCCCCAGTGCAGCATGGGTGACGGGGGAGGGCGGTAGCAGACGGAGGGTGGACGGATGAGTAGGTGGGACAGAAGAAGGAAGGTGAAGCCATTTTATGGTTCTCCTCCATTATGAACTTGAGTTTGGACCTTTGGGATCCAGCTGAAGTTCTTGTCCCCTGAGTCAAACCTCCTATCTCAAATGTCAAAAACCACTACATTTTGTTGTCTTCAAATGTCTTCCCCTCCCCAACCGCTGTCTGCTGAAAGCCAGCCTTGTTTACTGTTAAAGTGAAAAACAGAATTAACCCAGAGCCATCATCATCACCCCAAATCACTGGTTTTGTGGGACTATTTTAGTGTTGCGTATTCTCTCATCCAATGAATCAAAAGCCACAGTTAAATGACATACCTAACACCACCCCCAACCCTTGACAGAACTCTAGTTTTGTAGCATGAGAGTCACCTGGGTGACCAACTCCTCATCGATAATGTGTCTAGAGTGTTCCAAAGCCAGACTGGCATCAGCACATCTCAGTTCTGAGGGAGAGAGAGTTGCCTCCTGGGTTTCATCATGGCCCCTGTACCAGCACCCTCCTGGGCCAGGGGACCGCATCCCATCCCCTGCTCCTGGTGCTTGGGATGAGCTGTGGCAGGAAGCCACCCAGCACAGCCATGTATGCTGTGCTTACAGCAGAGGGAGGCCCTGTGAGGCTCTCAGGGCCCGCTGTACTGAGCTCAGCCTTCTTGCTGTTCAGAAAGCTTTGCACTTTATTTCCATGTCCCTGACCGTGCTCTGAATAGTGCTTGTTGCCACCTGAACTAAGACACTTTGACATACCGTCATGTCTTTGCCACCCTGTCCCTTCCTCAGTCCCGTTCACAGACTTCCTCCAGTGTTTCCTGACCAGGACCAGCAGGGCTGAAGCCATCCCCCCAACACGCCACACAGCAGCCCTCCACACAGGCCTGCTCTCATACTGCACATGAGGCCCCAGTGCAGCATGGGTGACGGGGGAGGGCGGTAGCAGACGGAGGGTGGACGGATGAGTAGGTGGGACAGAAGAAGGAAGGTGAAGCCATTTTATGGTTCTCCTCCATTATGAACTTGAGTTTGGACCTTTGGGATCCAGCTGAAGTTCTTGTCCCCTGAGTCAAACCTCCTATCTCAAATGTCAAAAACCACTACATTTTGTTGTCTTCAAATGTCTTCCCCTCCCCAACCGCTGTCTGCTGAAAGCCAGCCTTGTTTACTGTTAAAGTGAAAAACAGAATTAACCCAGAGCCATCATCATCACCCCAAATCACTGGTTTTGTGGGACTATTTTAGTGTTGCGTATTCTCTCATCCAATGAATCAAAAGCCACAGTTAAATGACATACCTAACACCACCCCCAACCCTTGACAGAACTCTAGTTTTGTAGCATGAGAGTCACCTGGGTGACCAACGTACCTACACCACCCTGCAGCTGGTGACAGACTTGGCTTCTACAGTAGCCCTATCCCTAGATTCTGTGAGTGGAGCCCCAGCCCAGAGCCAAGCCACCAAGGCGCCCACCCCCTCCTGGAGCAGCTGACTGGCGTGCACGTGGCCCAGTCCAGCCAGGATGATGGACTGAGGACTCTGAAGGGCCTCACAGACACCTCCACCCTTGGCCTTTCTTCCCTCCAGGTGAGAATAGGCATGGTAAGCACAAAGCGACATGCGTACAGACACACGGCCACACTGTGGTTGAACACAGAGGACTCCCGGTACGTTTGAGGTCACACTGGGGGCT